CACGTCCTCGGAAGCCAAACAACAGCCTCGGCTCCGCTCAGCCCTGCAAGGCTGAAGAGCATCCAAATCCAGGGCCGCTAGTCCAAAAATCCTTGGTTCTGGCTCCAGCACACCTAGGTAGGGAGCTCAGCATCCCTTCCTGAAAGTCTCCTGGCCAAGGATGAGCCAGCCCTGGCTTGAATGCACTGGAAAGACAAGCTCAGGATTGAGCGTGGAGCTGGTTACTCCGAGCAGCATCCAAGGGTGGGAAGAACAGCTCAGCTAACAGCAGGTGCCTGTGTCGGAGCTGCTCACCGCGGACACGTGAACCTACCACACGATTCATTTCTGCTGAAAATAGATGCCAGATGAGTTACAACTTCAAACCCATGAGCTCTACGAGAGATCGGTGCTGAAAAAGGGAGCAGGGGGGCCACAAACCTGGAGACAACCAGGTCCAGCCTGGGAGGCTCCTGCCCTGAACGTTTTGAGGGCCACAGAGTGGAGCGACTTTGGAAAGCAAGGGAAGGAAGGAAAGAGCATCACAGTTTTAAGCTAACAGGACGTGAGGTAGATGCTGCACGGGATGAAAGAGGGTTGTGCACTGAGGGAAGGGAGGGGGACTTGCATTTGCTGCATAAGGAGCTCAATCCTGCTGAAACTAAGACCCTCCCTGAGCTTAACCTCATCTCCGATGCACACCAGGCACTACTTGCCGGTTGGGGACCAAGAGAAGATTTCTCGGAAGCTCATTAGGAGAATAGCTCGTTCCTGAGGGAAAGATCTCCCAACCTCAGGCAGGTTGCAGAGTGGATCACAGAGCTAAAGCCCAAAGAATCCAAATCCTTCTCTCTTAATCCCACTCATCTTAATACTACTTACGGGAGACCAGTCCTTTGAGGCATTATTGACTCAAGCCACGGGTGGCTCTGGGGGAACAGGGGAGCTTTGAGAGCTCCCGGGGGCACTAGCAGAGCCCCTGTGGGGATGATCAAGCCCATTTTGAGGGCTCGGGATAGGTTCCTCACAAGGTTCCTCCAGACCTCATAGGTTCCTCCAGACTCACCTCACAAACTGGTCTCTGCCTCCCACAGCAAACTGGTAGGTGTTGGCCGGGTTCACGTAGATGGTGTACAGACCCACTTTCTTCTCTTTTTCCTTTGTCACAACTAGTTTCCTTTAAGAGACAAGGAATAAAAAGACTAACAACAACAACAAAAATCTACCTCAAATTCAAAACAGGGTCCAGATGGGAAATGCAGGAGCTCTGTGAGTCTCTTACTCACTCCCAAGGAAAAAAAATAAAAAAATATATATATAAAAAAATCTGCTTCCAAACTGAAGCGAGCACATGCTCTGTCTATGAATCAAATAACGCAGAGTGAAATCATCCTCTGGTGTTTTCATCCAAAATGTCTGAAGGGTTTCGCTGTCCGAGCCCAAGTGTGATGGGGCAGCAGGGACAGCACCAGATCAGCACCAAAGCAGAACGGCTCTGCTCTTATTTCTACCCACCTCCATCTCCCCACAATCAGGGCCACATTTTACAAAACCTGACACACACTGTGCACCCTCCCCCAAGAGCCTGGGCTTGCTGTTTAGGCTTTGCAGACATGAACACAAACCGAGGCAGCATCCTCGAGCAGGAACAGCAAGCTCAAAAAGCTCCTCTTTATTCTAATTATACCATTCGGCTTAACGAAGGATGGGAGCTGCCTACGGTCTGCCTGCAATCCCTGCCTCCGGAGTGGTTTCACATTCCTATGGTGACAATTCCCTGCGAGCATCAAACCCAAACAGCAGCATGGATCTCCAGGAAAGAAAAAAAAGAGGGAAAAGGAGCCACAGACCCACTCCAACTTGCTGACTGACAAACTCCTTTCCAAATGGCGCCTGCTAATAAAGGAGCAGGGGGAGGATGAAGATTAAACACAATTGTTTTGAAACGCCCCGGTAGTTTTTGTCCTGCTTATGAAACAGATGGTTTTAAGGCTGTCGACCAAAGCGCTTGCACATACAAATAAAAACCAAATCACCAGGAGACAAGCTCTGAAGTCCTCACTTTTAAGGAGGATCATCTTCAAAACAATATTCCGCTGTATTGGAAAAGTACTACGATACCAAAAGCAGGCATCGTTATGGATTTATTTTGGAAGCTTGTCAGAAATGACAGATCTCTCCGAGATGTGTGCTGGATCTTAACCCATAATACCCGGCTGCTCACTAATTATTGCTTTCCAATTAACTACAATAGTGTTCGGGCAATGAGAGAACCCAGCACACTACAAGCTCCAAGTTCCTGCCAGTGAGGAGAGATTTAAGTGCTGTAATTAAGCAGGCGCTTTGCTAATGTGGAACGGGAGCAGCTCTCCCGGCCTTTTACACCTGGAAAAGCCAAGGCCTCCAGGCGAGGCAGGCGCTGGCTCTGGGATGGATAATTCGGTGTCACACTGGCAGCCTTGGGCAGCTGCCACAGCAGCCTGTAAGGGACAAGGACCTGCCACACAGGTTCGATTTTTACGCCCTATTTAAATAGGGCCTGAAGGTCCTAATCCCAGTGGAGGATGGAGGGTTCAAAGACACTATCTAGTTGGAAAGGTTCATATCCATATCCTCCTGCTAGACGGAGGAGGATCAGACCAGGTGCCTGGCAGCTCTGTGCTCTGACCTTGTCCCATGCAGCTCATGGAAGACTGAGATTTAACAGCCCCAAATCCCCACATTTTCCCACTTTTGGGCCATCAGACGAGCATGGGCCCAGCCCCGGGACTCAGCCCTACGCAGCGGAGCTTTGCCCCCTCCCAGGAGGGCACCACGGCCCCCAGGGCTCCCTTCCACGGGGTCTCGCAGCGGGAGCTGGTAGGGAAATACTCACGAGGCAGGCCGGTCTTGTCTCAGATCAATGGTGAAGACTACAGCATCTTCACCTGCTGATAGGAAAGTGCATGGAGAATCCGGTTCTAGGGCCAGCTGGAAGATAAATACTTGGGCATTGGTTCCCTTTTTACCTAACAAGGTGGTAAGACCCCTTTCTCCCAGCAGACCATTAGCAATCAACAGACACCAAAATAGCACCAAGCCCTCCATACCCAGTAAAAGCAGTTTTCATCGGTCTCCAGAGGATATAGAAACCCTTTTCATTATGTTTTAGCCTTGTCCAAGGGCAAACGCCTTCCTCCCTGTCCCCAAGGGTTACTGCCCAAGAGGAACTTGTCCTCTCAGAGGACAGATGACACCTCCACAGCTCAGGGACACCCCCACGGCGTTACAGGGCTCCCCAAATGCTGCGTGCCCCAGTCCAGAGGCCGGTCTGGGCTCACCTTGTGCGAGGCTCCCTTGTGCTGTGCCACGCGCTTGGTGTTCTTGCAGCACTGCGTGGCGGAGAGCTCGGCCACTCGGACCTGGCCGTCCCGAGCGCACATGGCTAGAGTGGAGTCGCCGCTGTTGGGAAGGAACTTGGCCTAGAAGAGAGCAAACGGACGCGGCGCTTTCAAAGCCGGGGCGTGAGCTCGTGCCTAGAAACAGCGGGGTCAGTAAAACAGGACTCGGACCGAGGACAGTGCCCTGGATGGGTACGACACCCACCCTGCCAAATCCCAAAGGCTCGGAAACACACGTGCTGGACACACAGAGGGCTCAGATCCACGGATCCCAGCTGCTTCCGATTACCACGTGAGGAGCCAGGACCCTCACAGAGACCCCGGCAGCGCAGGGCGCTGTCTGACACATGGTCGGTGGCAGCAAAGGTTGTGCAGGACCTGGCCGGGCCCCCTCTGGCACTGGCAGAAGGGCCGTGGCTGCCCCTTGCAGGGGGGACATCACGTCCCCCTCCGGACACAGCTCCTGCCCCAGGGCTGCTCCCAAACCTCCCACCCAACCAGGGTTGGGAGACCAGCGCGGAGCAGAGCTGGGCAGCAGGGAAGCTCTTGGCAAAGACAACATCACATCCAGCTGCCAGCCCCGGCCAGGGGACCTCGAGAGGGGACCCCAGCTCCGCCGCATCTCCGGCCCGTCCCCACACGCCCTCCTCACCTGGAAGACGTTGCTCTTATGGCCGCTCTCAAACTCCAGCACCGGCTGCCTCCTGACCCAGTCCCACACCACCACCTTGAGGTCGTCGCTGCCGCTCGCCAGCCACGTGCCGCGCTGGTTAAAGTGCAGGGTGTTGACGCAGCCCGTGTGGCCCTCGAGGCTGTGCTGCAGGCGGAAGCGCTGCACGAAGACGCGGGCGCCGCAGGCCTCGTAGACGAAGCGCGAGCTGGAGCCCAGCTCCCGTTCCCGCAGCGCGTGCACCGCCTGCCAGCGGGGCCGCGGCA